AAACCGTGCAGGAACTTGAATATGACATCCCAAAGTAAACCCCACTTGTAACGATGGACTGTGGCATTGGGAATAATTAGCCATCTTCTTAGACCAGCTCAGGTCTAAGTTGGCGCAATAATGTGGGCAGTGCATTCAGGGGTACAGCAGAGTGCTTCAGTAGACACTCCCGGTCTGGCTAAGGGAGCTTGAGGGGACTCTAGGCAGAAGCCCACAGACCACCTCCTGGCTTAGGGACATCAAGATCAAAGCCCAAATGCACCTTTGCCGCTGCCTCTCCTGCACAGCTCAGCCAGAACCGATGCTCTCAAGAGCCCAGGGTGGGCTCAGCTCTCTCCTTAGAGTGAGAGTCCATGGCAGTCCAAGGCAAACCTGTTCATTTGGAGGCTGATTATAGAAACTTGGCCAGAACTCTCTCCTCTGTCTCACTTCCAAAAGATGGAGGCAGCAAACAGGGCTGTTACCTAGGAGCAATGAGGAGGCAGCCAGCAAGGAGTAAAGCCCCAAACCTCACCACCCCCAGGGGTGCCTGCACTTACGAGGGCCCTCTCACACCAACTTGAAGCAGGCCTGGGACATGCCATTTCAGGTGTATGGGGTGAGCCTGTCTGTCAGCGTGAACCCTGAGCAATTTGGACTCAATTATTTGTACAGTCTGCCACTGAGGCATGTTCGTAACTGGGTCTGGTTTACTCAGGGTATTCTTCGGACGTTACCAGGAACTATGGTGCTGGAAAATTTTGCCTGGTGAAAAGTAATGTTAAGGAAATCCTCTGGGAGAGAAAGTGCATGGACTTTGAGAGGAGGATCTGAGGTTTAGTCATATTGGAACTATTGGGACTGATTCATTTAACTTGACCCTGCTTTTCCCTCAACTGTGCTTAGAAAAGGAGTATAGGACCTGGTTTCTGTCCTTAAGAGGTATATAGTCTGACTACGATTGAGCCCTCAGGCAAGGTTTCTCACCCCTTGTATTGACATTTGGGGGTTGGATAATTCTTGTGCGGGGCTGTCCTGTGCATTGTAGTGTTAGCAGCATCCTTGGCCTCTACTCACTAGATGCCAGTGGCATCCCCCCACTTGTGACCACCAAAGATGTTTCTATACATGGCCAAATTGCCCCTGATTGAGAACCACTGCCCCAGGGTTCGTACAATGACTTTCCTAGGCCAAGACTAACTTTTCCACTCACATCACAGGATTCTAGGGTTTTATATCACATGCCCTGGTCTTCGTTCTATTACAGCATATGACATTTTCAGTCTGGTAATGGTTACTCCTGAAACAATAATGTTGGGATTACTAAGGTAGAACAACCAAACCCAAGAGACACTCTAGTCCCCATCTTCCTTTAGAACTTGAATATGTATTCTTTTTATATAATTAGGTATATGTCCAAGCCTAAAAGAAATGGATGAGAGAGAACTATTCACCCCCAAGATTACAAATCCCTTATCAGGGGTCCAGATGCCTCTGAGGTAGCAATTTTCTTCAGAATCCCCTTATCATTCTTCTTCTCTCTCTCTTTTGTATGAGCTTTTATCTCATACATGTTATGTTTCTTGTTGCCTTTGGTTAAAATGCACACTCTTTATGGAGAGGTGACAGTCATGGCTGACACTTTTTTTTAGCTCTTAAAAAGTGTCTCTTCCGAGTGGTACTCATGGAAAACTCGAGCTGAAGAGAGGGAACAAGACTCACTGTCCTCAAGATGGGATCCCAGAGATGGGGAACACATCCTGGGACCATTCTAGGTCTCCTGAGAAGTCAGATGACTGATGTGAGGAAGGGGAAAAATGACAGAGGCAGAGGCAGATTTATAGTCCAGGGGCCCAATTCCTGGTTCCTTCAGGTTGACCTCTTTCTAGCCAAAGACACCAACGCGGGGTCCAGATGGTGGGTAATAAAGCAAGAATCCATCAGACCTAAATACTAATGTTATCTGACTCTATGTTCAACACATCAGGGCAAGGGAAACTTAAGGGACGAGAGGAAGCCGAAAAGTTTCTATAATCATGTTTTTAGTGGGTTTGCTCTGAGCAACTGCTTGTCACCGCCATAGAGCCCGCAGCCAGCTGAGGCACACTTAGACAAGAGCGCTGGATAGTAGAGGGGTAGGGCTCTCACTCCCAGAAAATCTGTGGAGTAGCACAATTAGAATCTGCCTGACCTGGAGGGAACTGGGCAGTTTTATAAAACTGTAGAAAAGAGATGGAAAAAAGTCTTGCAAAGCTAAGATGGCTAATTATCTAATTTTTTGAGACTAGAATGTATGCTTTGTGGTTATTGACCTTGTGTTTCTAAAAGTTCCTATTTATAAATAAAATCTATCAGATGGAAAGGTATCAATTCTTCCAAAGAATCCAAATGAAAGACCAGAGGAATTCCTACCGTCCAATTCCCCCTGGATATAGGGCACCGAATAGTCAGGAGTAATCATCTAACGTGCTAAGCAGAGAAGTCCTTCATCGAATGAAACTCAGCACACCACGTGTTTCCTGAGCACACCCCAGGAAGGAGAAGCACCGTGGGGACCAGAAGCCCTACCATGGATGCTCTCTTGCTCCTGACACCAAGTCTCTGGCACACAGCAGATCATGTTTAGGAAGGAACGTGGGAAAAGCGGGTCAGACAGAAAGCTGGAACCATCCTTTGTGAGGCGGCCCCAGCTGATCTTTCCAGCATTGTCTCATCTCGGCCCCCATCCGCACCCTGTAGGCCTCCCTGAACACGGCAGGAGCTTCCATGCATGCACACTATTTTGCCCACACTATTCCCTTTGTCTGGGATGGCCCTCACCTCTTCCACATTCTTTCAAGACCCAGTTCCAATCACATGCCCCCCATTGCCCTGAAGGTGACTTACAGTGTGGCCTTCAGTGTGGCCAGAGCAACATATTCATCTCTTTTATGGTTCTTAGTGCACCACAGGGTAAAGGTTTATTACCATATAGAAAAAAAAAATGTCTATGTTATCCACACACTACAGGCCCCTTAAGGACAGGGACAATTAGCGTTTTACTCACTTTTTGTGCCTGGTGTTGTGCCTGGTGCTCATTACAAGTCTAAAAGAATGAAACCGACCCACTTCCCTTCCCCTCCCCTCACCAGTGACTTCTTTGCAGAATGACCGGAACATATAGCCTGACCGACTGTCAAACTTTAGTTTTATTAAGTCTTCTTTTGTTTTGTTATCGAATTGCTAGCAGCACTAAAAATCAATCCATGTGCTTAAGAAAAATTAAAGATTATAACTTAGCTGCCAAGGTTTGAAGGTCTGGGGGACAGGGGAGTTGCCTAGAGATGCTACCGGTTTTCCATTGCTCTGACCTGATAGAGATAAAAGGCCCAGCCCTGCCGCTCATCATGCTTTCGGTACAGACAGTCTGGCCACGAAAGGGAGCTGAGAGGACTAAGCACCCCGTGCTGGCACCGTAACCTGTACCTACCGCCCCAAGATTTAGGCCCCTCAGGGCACTGTGGCTCTCTCTTCTGGGCTGGCATTTCTGCAATATGAGAGGCAAAGCCCTCAGTCTCTATCATGGTTTTAGAAAACCAGTTCCCTCATGTAATGTGGTGGTATCTTTTTGGCAGATTTATTTGTAGAAATGATTTCTTTATTGGGTTATTTCTTTATAGTGTTAATAAAGGAAACTCCCCAGGTAAATAAACCCTCTAAAGATAGTTACGTTCTGTGGTTATTGAGGGCATCTTCCTTGCTTTTTTTTACCGAAGCATCATCCAAAGAGAGGACTAGTGCTTCAGTCATTCGAGTCTATGACTTGTATTAAGCATAACAATAAGAGTTTTTACCATTTGAAATTGGATTACCAACTCTCCCTGCCTCTTTTACAAGACCAGAGACTGCTAACGATGTATACCTATATATACATAAATCGCTTTATGTCACCTACCAAAATAGTCCATACTTTATAATAATATTTTGGGAAAAAAAAAGGATTGTATTCCTTTTTATTTGAAATTCTGTTTGAAGAAACAGAATTGCAAATAGACCTAGAAAATGCTAGACCTGTTCCAGGAACTGCAAGCTGTGTCAATGAGGTGCTTGTTCCTCCTGCTGGACTTTGTGTTTGCACTTGAGGCTTCAGAAGACCTCAAAAGCAGTTAACCAGCATCCCTCGGTCCAACAAGATGCCAGTGGAAGACGCAGCTCCTGAGCCAACCAGACCAGGTAGCAATGCCCCTGTGGCAAGTAGGTTGCATATCTTCTCTGGGGGTCTGTACCTTCCTGGGCGAGGCATGCAACAGTCGAGTTCTTCTGTATCTGTGTAGTTTCCTTGTGTGTGTCGTATTGCGCCATCCCTGCTTACCCTGACATGTACTGGAGCAGTTTATGGAGAGCGAATGGCTCCCACACATCTATCTGTACAGAGTGCACCCTTGTACCAGCCAGCTAAGGAGCTCCTTCACTAGGTTCCCATCCAGTGGCTCTCGTGGGCCATCTCTGTCAACCATCCTGTCATCATTTCTCCTGTCTCTCCCATTGTTCTTCAGTGGGAACTGCTTGTCTTGTTGGCCGTTCAGAAACAAACCATTTCTTTGTTTAATCTACAGATGAGTTTCTCTGGCTCTGCCCCTCCCTGTACCATCCTTGATGCTTGTTCTTTACAACATCCCAGAGGCTCTGCTGTGATGCAGGCTTTGGCTTCTCTCTTCGGGCTCTAGTTCTCCAGTTGCCTCGACAGCTCTCCTTGTACCCCAAAGTCTCCCTGACTTCCCCTCTCCCTTTAGTTAGCACATGCCCTGAGAGAGGCCCTGCTTCCTTGGTGGTTGGTGCTGTCTCAACTGGCAAGGGGATAGCATCCCCACATCTTCCTGCCCTGGGCTTCTTGCGGGGTGGAAATCTTAGGTGACACTCTCACCACCATTCCTCTTCTGTAGTGGCTTATGCTCTTTGCTTGCTCAGTCAAGCTGCTTTGTTTTTGCTGCATCGAAGTCTTGGACGAAAGCATCTGTCCCAGTCTCTGAGGCGTTCCTTGTCTTCGTGGCTGCTTGGTCTCCTTTCATTGTTTCTAAGGAGAGGCAACCTAGGCCCTGAGGAGGCATGCAAGGAACCTGAAGCAAGGAACCTGGGCTAGAGCACTGGATTAAATTAGGCTGTTGTTTCTAGGCCCTAATACAGCCAAGGGCATTGCTTGGTGAACCAGGCAAGCCAGACCCTCGCCCTAGATAAGCCACCAAGGTGGGCCATGTGTTCTTGAGAACACATGGGCCTAGAGGCCTCACTTCCTCAGACTTTGCTTAGCTCCCTTAGGCCATGGAGCTGCTCAGCTGTCTGGGGCCTTGTTGCTCTCAGAATATTTGAGGTGACTGTGAAAGCGACTTTAGAAACTGTCCACTTATGGACAGCTTAGCCAAGTGGCTCGGCTTACTAGTAATAGTCTCATGTGGTGAGAACTTGTTTGGTACCTCAGGTATCTGGAGTTTTAGGAACAAAGAACAAACGTGTATTTCATTAAAAGGCTTGGAAAGGAAACCATGACTAGTTAGGATTTTGGGATGTTGTTGTTTTTAAGATCCTAGAGGCCTTGGTCACCTCTAGGTAGCTTAAAATGAAAAACAAACAAACAAAAAACCCAAATACCAAATTATAGTGTGCAGAGGCCAGAGCCATGAGGGAATAGAGCATGTTATACAAACACTTGACGCTCTCCCCAGGGGGAAGCTCACGCCCTGAGCATCTCCCTAAGCCATAGACTAATCTTTGTGTTCAGGTTACAAGAGGAGGCCTGTGGCAGGGAATCAAGCCAGGGGAGCCACTCTCTCTGCCACTTGGGAGGCCATAGGCTATTGATGTGGCCAACGAGAGCAAAGAGAACAGGCCACCCTATCCTTGTGAACAGCTCTTCTTCATACCTGCTCTGTTTATCCTTCTAACAGCCCAAGGCCACCTGGGGAAACAAAATGAGAGACTCCTAGGGTCCAGCATTGGACCAGAAAGGATGTAGGCTCAATATGAGATTGGAGAAGGA